CAACCCTGCACATAGAGCTGGCTCAGTCCCTGCCTCTGGGCAGAACCCAAATGAGACCTGTGTGGCCCTTTAATCCTGACCCTTTCTTACAGACATAGGACAATCAAGAACCAACCGAGCCCCAGGGCTGGGGTGATCACTGAGGGCCGGAGTAGTTGCCGAGCCTCTGAGGCACCCTGGCTTCCATCCCTGGCACTGCAAAAAACAAAGAAGTAAGCAAACAACAAAAATCTGAACCCTGCCTTTCTTAATCAGTTACAGTTTTCATATTGATGTGATTTATGAACTGTTTTATTTTTAAATAAACTTATTTAGTATAGTTTTAGATTTTCAGAAAAATTAGGGAGATAGTACAGAATATCCACATATCCTGCACCAGTTTCCAGTATGATTAACCTGCTCACTAGCATGGTGCACGCCTTATAATTCATGAATCGCTGTTGGGAGGTAATTGACTCCATCCTGATTCAGAGCTCCTTTGTTTTTGCCTAGCATCCTCTTTCTCTTCTAGGAGTCCATCCAGGACTCCACCACATTTTATGTCCTTGCTGTGACAGTTTCTCTGACTTTCCTTGTTTTGGGTGACCTTGAGAGTTTGAAGCATTCTGGACAGCTCTTGTGTAGAGGGTTCCCTTTTGTCTTGAGTTAGGGTTTTTGAAGATCAGAGTGGCACTTTTCTATCACTGTATCCAGAGGCTAGACTGTCAACATGACTGTTCGTGGTTGGTTTTGGTCTTGATCACCTGCCTGTGTTGCGTTTGTGCACTGTACAATTTCCCTGGATATTTTGGAAGAAAGTTGTATGTACAACCTTCCTTTTAACATGGGAATATCTCTGACTGGCCAAGAATCTACCTGTTATTTGGAGTTCTGTGTGGGAGATGATCTTTGCTCTCCACTTACTCAGTTATTTGTCAGTATGGATTCATGGGTATTTACTTTATACTTCATGTTATAACCCAGTGTTTACTGGGTTGTTTAAAGTGCTTCAGCTCCAGCCATTGGGAGAGCTGTCAGTGACTCTAGGTCCCTTTGATACACTCCCAGCATTGTGGTTTTGGGTTTTTGTTTTCTGTTTAGCACTTCTTTACTTTTTGGCACCACAAGATGCTCAGGCCCATCTCTATTTCCTGTTCCAGTTTCAGAATCAGATATTTCTCCAAGGACCCTTAGTTCCTTCTTTGGAGAAAGGGGTTTGTAACCAGGATCCGAGAGGCAGCTGTGGTCTTTGCTACTGAGATATTGTTACTTTTAGGCCCACTCCACTGACACAGCAAGGAAGTGTGTGTGTGGATATGAACCTGTGTAGACACTATCAACATATCACCACGTGGTAACCTGAGTTCAACACTGAGATCTTCAGCTCTTACCTGTGACCCCATGGATCATCCTTCCCTTGCTTATCTGGAACCTCTCACTCTCTCAGTGAGAAATCTGGCTCTCACCATCTGCTAGCAACTTATTTGTCCAATTTAGTATACATGTACGGCAGCATTGTAACTGCTAGCCCATACTCCCATGAGAAATAACATTATCAGCTGGAAGACAGTGCTTGTGTGTGTCTTCTTTGGCCCTCACCATGAAGGATCCACTCATTTCTGGAGCTGCTTAGGTTGGTTCCTTGTTCTTCTATCTCCTCTGTCTCCCAGGGTGTTTCATACATTTGTAATACAGTTGGATTGTTTTGTTAGATTCTGCATTCCATCCAAGGATCCTCCGGCTCCCAAAGTAATTTTTTAAAGTTTGCACATATTAGATTCACTGTGTTGTAAAGCTCTTTGGAACCTGACAAATTCCTGTTGTCCTATCTCCACCATCATCTTATCAAGTAGCCCAGTTTCACACTCAGGTGCCTCACCTGTTCAACCCTCCCATTCTCCCCCAAAACCACTGATCTTTTCGACAAGGTCCCCTGGGGAAGTGGTGCTGAGTGGTGGAGCAGGGCGTGGGGCGAGGTCAGCCAGCCTGTCTGCTGGGTGGATGGAAATGCCTGACTGAAGGCTTTATTCATGGATCACAGTGGGTTTCCATAACTGGGACAAAATTACTTTCATGGGAGCATGTTTCTAAAGTAGGCAACACCATCAAACACACTTGGCCTGTCACATCGGAAAAGTACTTTGTTAAAATTGGGGCCATTACATAATTTAAAACTGGAAGGAATGACAAAACTCAGACATTGGTGACAGGACAGCCTTTAATAGCCCTTCCCTCTTGTTTCTCATGCAGCTTTCCTGAAGTCCTTCGGGCCACAGGAAGTGGCTCTGATCTGCAACCCAGGCCTGAGCGTGGAGGCTGGCAGTGAGGTACAACCCATCCATAGCCCTCATCTCCTCAGGCAAGGGCATCAGGATCAGTGGTGTTTGATACAGACTTAGCCATTTCATTCCTCCCCATCATACATCCCAATTTTTTGGAACCATCTCTCACCAGTCACTTAAGAAAGGGCTACCCTGGCACTTGCCTATCACCCTTCCCCATATCCTTTCCCTCCAGGCACCAAAAGTCAGCTTACAGGTAGCCTTCTTGTCCATTTCCTTGGTCACTAATGTATAAGGCTTTAGATCTAACATGTCACCCAAAAGTCTTGTTAGGGAGTGGGACCTGCTTGGGGGTGGGTCACAGGGGGTGTGACCTGGGAAGGTGGATTCTGTCCTTGACTCCTCCCTACACGCTCTGCTTCCTGGCTGCCATGAGATGAACAGCCTCTGCCATGCCCTTCTGCCAAGTTTTTGCCTTGGAGCCAGCTAACCATGGACTAAAGCCCCTGAACCATAAGCTAAATCAAACCTTTCCATCTTTAAACTGTAAGTGTGGTATTTAGTCCCAGTGATGAGAAAGTGACCGATATTGTTTCTGCTGTGGAATTAAACACACTCAGTGCTTAAGAACCAAGTTTCATCACCTGTCAAATACCCAGGGCTCTGAAGGAAACAGAAGGCAGATAATGGTAAATACTGTGAGGATGTCTCCCAGAATTAACTAACCTGTAGAGAATAGGTCAGGTTCCAAATCACAACCCTAATTTTAGGATAGAGATACTGTGCTCTAACTCTAGCTCAGTCAGGTGGCTGAAGAGCTGCCTGGGTCCTGGATGCTGTGCAGGCAGGCAGAGCTCATTAGCAAGGCCAGGGGCACCTGAGCTCTTACTGCACGCAAGCTAAAGGCCCTCTCTGCATGGGGTCAAGATCACAGGTTGGTTTCCAGTCAGATCAAAGTGGCATGGTGGACATTCAGAATGAGAACCTGCTGTTCAGCACTGTGGACGTTGCCCACATTCAAGCAGGGCCTCTCCCTTGTAAGTGTGCTTCAGGCCCCCAGGAAACTTCCCACCCTTATTCTTCCCCCACATTTCACTACGCTGTGCTGTCAGTGACCAACAGAAGATCTGAGGAGGCAGCTCTCCTGCAAACTGCCGGAACCAGGGACAGAATTCAGCAAGCTTCTTTGAACCCTGCAATTAAAATTTCATGAACATTCTTCAAGCTAAAACCATTACAGAAAATGTTTTAGCAGTGTTGGCTGTAGTGATAGAAAAATAAATAAGACAAACTTCTGACAGATAAAAAGGGTCATGGCTGCTTGTCGTTCTGTGAATTAGAGGAAAAATATTTTACAGTGTCACCTGAAAGTACTTTGTGCTGATTTTTGCAAGATTCAAATCAGTGTTAAGTGCTATGTCATTCCACACAAATACTGGGGACTGTTTCCCCCAGGTTTTCTGTTAGCAATGTCAGTTTGACAAGAAGTGATAAAGGCTAACAGGATCCTGGTTCACAAAACATCTTCATATTTTTTTACTTATTGAGATAGTTTATGTGTGTGTTTATATTTTACTTCCAAAAAAGAATATTGACATGTATAGAAGTCAAAATGAAATGATATCTCAACATTACTTTAACCAAAAAAAAAAAAAAAACAATTAAAGAAAAATGGCAATAATTAAAATGTCAGTTATGGCCTTGATGAAAGAGGTTTTCCTTTCCCCCACAAAAATTGCCCATTACTTCTAAACAGGACAAATACTAACATGTTTTCTCTATAGAGCATTCTTACGTATTTTTGAGTTGATAATTCTGTTGCTAACTTTATAAAACAAAAAATGTAACTATAAAGCTTCATTCACAATTTTTCCAATATTCAATTGTTTAAAACTCCACATACAGTAGTTATATTTCAAAAAATAGTGAATAGTTTCATGGTTTACTTAGAACATAAATGGGAAAATATATACAACTGGCATTCCAATAAATGGTTTAAATTTTCTTTTAAATACCCCAACAGGCTGACAGAAGTCGCAGTCCCCCCAGCCTCGTACAGACAAAAGCCAGTGACTGAGAAGAAATCAGGCCTCACTGGAACCCTGAGCAGAGGTTGGACAACTACTTCTCAGGAACTCAGGAAACTCATGTGTCAGAAAAGGTGACTCATACTCTCACTGCAATTTTTTTTTTTTTGGTACTGGGGATCGAACTCGGGACCTTGTGCTTGTAAGGCAGGCAGCGGAACCACTGAACTAAATCCCTGGCCCAAGGTGACTCATAAATAAATCAAAAGAATATGGCTGCACAGATATCAGAATCCGATCAGATAAAACAGTTTAGGGAATTCCTGGGAACCTACAAGAAACTTACAGAAACCTGCTTTTTGGACTGTGTTAAAGACTTCACAACAAGAGAAGTAAAACCTGAAGAGATTACCTGTTCAGAACATTGCTTACAGAAATATTCAAAAATGACACAAAGAATATCCATGAGATTTCAGGAATACCATATTCAGTAGAATGAGGCCCTGGCAGCCAAAGCGGGACTTCTTGGCCAGCCCCAATAGAGAAGTCCCAATGGCTGAGCTCTGGGTGGAGGCTGCCATGGCTGTTGCACTGGGAAAGAGGACTGATCAGGTGGAAACCCTGAAAGTGGTGGGCACCATGTTGAACCATCTGTCATGACTATTTGGCAAATGGAAACCACTGGAAAAACAAAATTGCTGCTCACCAGGAATAATCGAAATAGAGGATCTTATTATTCAGTGAAAGAAATAAGATGCAACATTAAGGTTGAAGCCTTAAGATTCAGTAGCTTGGTAACTTAATTAGAAAAATAAGCCTCTGTTTCTTCAACTGTGACTGTTAATTTTAAAGCAAAATATGTGTTCAATCATGTAAGAGAAAAACGTTACTGAAAGTGAAATAAATGGGAATATACCGAAAAAAAATTTTTTCTTTTAAAGAAATGTTATCTAAAAATAGTCTCAAGAAATTTAATACAATTCTGAGCAATGATTATTTCTGAAATGTATGAGATGTGAAACATAATTGGAAAAAGGCTAAAAACCAAAAGTATTTGTGTTCTTGCTTTTTTCTTTTTAAAAAAATTCAGACGTTGTGTCACATCAAGAAAGTTCGAAAAGTCCCGGCAGCTGCAGCCTCAGTTGCCCTCAGAGTCGCTGTCCCCACTCCTCATGGGCACAGAACCTCGCACTGAGGATAGCAGCGCATCCTCCAGGGGCTTCCTGGGGTTCTCCTCCAGGTCAGTCTTGACTGCTCCAGACTCAGACAGTTTCCACTCCAACTCTGTTGTGCAAAGGGAAAAGCAAATCACATACAGCACCGCAGCACACGGCCTTTTCTCAAACCCTCAAGCCATATAATTTTTGGGGGGGGGGTACTAGGGATCAAACTTGGGACCCTGTGCGTGCGAGGCAGGTGGTGGAACCACTGAGCTAAATCCCCGGCCCAAGCCATATAATTTTTAACAGAAAACATAATCATAAAAATTTGGTGACAGGGGCCAGGGATTTAGCTCAGTGGTTCTGCTGCCTGCTTCGCAAGCACAAGGACCCAAGTTCAATCCCTGGTACAAAAGAAAAAAAAAAACTTTGGTGACAATCTTACTGCCATAGTGTTATGGTGCCAAAAAAGAGAGAGGGGAAAAAGTGGCTCTTTAAGAAGGAAAATTCAAAAAACTTTCACTTTTTCAGATGCTGAGATCAAATGAGATATTATATAAGCTTGAACCTATATGAAAACTGCAATAAGATACAAAGAATAAACTTTTCCTGTAGCTACTGTAGTATCCCAGCTTGGACAATTTCTCAGGAAAGAAACAGGCAAGAAACATTTAGAGGAAATAATCTCCCCAGGTCACATGCCAACCACATCACCAAACCTAATTTTAGTTGACTAAAGGAGAACTACAGCCTTGTGTTCAATATCCCATCTACTCAGCTCAAAGGACAATTGTTGGTTGATACCCTAGAGCTAATACATTTATTCCAAGTAATATAAAATACTTAAAAATAAAGTACCAGAAACTAAGCAATCAGAGACCAAAGACTCACTTCCTATATTTCACCCTCTTATAATCAGTAAAATTGTACACAGTGTAAGATCTTGTGAAGCAAAGTCAGGGGATGCATTTTTCATCAAAGAACCCAAGTATAACCAAAGAATGCCCAAAGAGATTTGAAAATCGCAAGGTCAATGCTAACTATGTACTTTCACTAACATCTGTCAAGTTTCCTGAAGTCGTAGTAAAGAGTAGAACAGTGATTACCAGGGATGGGGGTAAATGGGGAGATAAAGGTCAAACGGTACAGAGTTTCAGTTATAAAATGAATAAGCTCTGGGGACTGAATATATAGCACAGTGGTCATCATTAGCAACAATGTATTAAACGCTGGAAATTTGTTTGCAACATAAATCTTAAGTATTCTCACCAAAGGGAAAAAGGAAAGAGGTAACTATGTGAAGTGCTTAGCTTGATTGTGATAACTATTTCACACTGTACTTCTAAACCAAATCATCATGCTGTACACTTTAAATATATACATTTCTTGTCAATTACATCTCAGTCCTGGAGGGGGTGCTCCACAGAGATGATTATTACCCTAGTATTTTCAGCTTTAGGTACATTGGCTAGATGTTGTGAAAAATCAACAAATTTCTCTAAAAAAGTAAGATTTCTGATTCCTGATTCAAAAATATATTTACATATCCACAATAGGGACATACATTCATGTACAAGTATGTAAATATAAATTCACTAATCCTTAAGACTTTCTAGAAATAAAGACTAAAATATAACTGTATCTGGCTATGGTGTAGATGTCATTTTTTGTCAGTGTAGCAATGCTGGGAGGTGGGGTCTTTGGGAGGGAGTCATGTCAGTCTCCCAAGACTGCATGGTTCTCACAGGGATGGATGGCTGTCAGGAGTGGGTGTTATGAAGTGAGCCTGGCACCTCTCAGTCTCTCCTGGCACGAGTGCCTGCCTCCCCTCCACTTCTCCGCAATGATGTGATACAGCATGAGACCTCACCAGAACCTGATGCCAGGCTGTGTGAGCCAAACAAACCTCCTTCCTTCATAGAACACTCAGGCCTCAGGCGTTTTGTTATAGCAACAGAAAATGGACTCAGACTATACCTCGTGATCTGATCAAAAAAGGTCAAAATTAGCTATGAATTACTTTGAAATACCGTTTATCTTTGAACAATGGAATAATGCATAACTGAAGTATCTCTTACGTGTTTGCGTTTACATTTGTCCTTTCCCCAGGTGAACATCGTAGTGGTAACGTATAAAGACTTATGTTTAAAAATACACTTATGAAGACTAGTGTAGTTGGTACATTACTTCGGTAAAGAGATAAAAGATTTTACTCAGCAGGAATGTCTCTGGCCTCAGATTCCCTTTCACACATGGATATATACTTTGACACTTCCCTGAGTAACAGTGGAAAGGAACAAAAACCACATTCTTCCAGAGTTAGAAGCAGAGTTAAGTAAGCTCAAATGTAAAACCTACTAAAATACTCAGCTAAGACATACATATAAACTAGTGTCACTAATATGGTGCAAATTAAATGAAAATAAATAAAAAATGAAGGCTGTGACCTTGAACTACAACATAAAAGAAAACATTCAACTGATGAATTAACTAAGAGGAGAGATTTAATGTGCTTCCTCCCGTTCAACACCGCACTGGGGCAAAGGTGGGCATGACATGTCACCATGACACACAGCCAGGGAGCTGGAAGCAGGCAAGCTCTTTGACAGGAAGACCCCCTCCCTTGCCTGTCCCGAGAGCCCCTCACCATCTCTTGTCAGGTTCATGCCACCGAACACCAGAGGACCGATGAACTGAGCCTTGATGTCACCTTCAAGGTAGACGAATATTGTGGGCAGATTCCTATCCGGGTAATTGGGTATGCAGGTTGTTGAAATGGCCTTGATAAATTTGACATCAGGAAACTTCCTGGCAAGTCCACTGAGGTGCTGATTTATCAGGGCACAGAGGGGAATCCTTCAGAAACAGGAAGAGAAGCAGCTGTGACCACACATTTATAGAACAAAGCCCAGAGCCTGGCTACCCACCATAAAGTCTCCCAACGGTTGTACAGGTGGTGTGTACCCAGGTGATGGCAAACCTTTTAGAGACAAGTGACCCATTTATTTATCGCAAAGTGCCAACACTGTAATTAAACCTGAATACTGAGGTTTTAGTTAAAAAAAAAACCTCAAACAATAATATCTTTTATCTTAAACAATATGTGTGTCATAGGTTCACTACCTATGGCCTAGAAAGACTTTAAGCTTTCTAATATGTTCAGGGAATGTGAAGATCCCAAATTACAAAGTCTAATTTAACTGAAGCCAACAGTAACTCAGAAGGACAGCTTCAATGTAAAAGATAACAGCTATGCTCCTCTATCACAGTGAATGAGACATGACAGAACAGAAGATTCAGAATTGTGAAAAAGGTCAGAAAGGTGTTCTCTGCTTTAAAGAAATTTCTGAACATGCACTGGACACCATAATTTAAGAACAGCACTGGGCAGATGAGAATACTGGATATCCAAAGCATCAATAAGCATAATTATTATTAAGTTCACTCTTGGCCACCTATAATAGTAATAAATTACATGGAACTTTGAAATGCCAGAGTTTCTTGCAGATGTGTCCAACCTGTGGCTTATCCTTTTTCTCTCCTTTTTTAATGTTATAATAAATAAATTTTTAAAAAGGAAGCTGTTAGTTATATACATTAATTATATTTTATACTTGATATGTGGCCAGGACAGTTCCTTCATGTGGCCCAGGCAAGCTGAGAGATTTGGTCATGCTTACGAGAGAGATGACTCAGAATTTTTAAGAGAAGAAAACTAAGTTTTCATTTTCTGCTTTTACAAAGATAATTGTATTATTCACAGGTATTTGTTTGAAAGTCTTAAGGTGAAACTAGTGCAGCAAGCAAAAGACAAAGAAACCATCTGATATGGGTTATACTTGAAACAGGTTCAAGACAGAAATTCAAATGAGCATCTTGCAGACTGTGTGGAAGAGGAGCTCACCCTTGCTTGTAAAGGTGCAAGATCACCCACAAGCCCTCACCGGCTTTGGTAACTTCCTGAACATAATCCTTTCCTGAGATCTCCAAAACATCTCCAAATTTATTCTTCAGTTGAACTGCCTTCCACTCAGCCAGTCTTTGCTGCCTGCACAAGAGGAGGAAAGGAACACCTTACACACGTGTAAGCACACACACGCACACACATGTCCACACATATACACACAACTTTCAGAAGGCAATGCTTGTTCATCACCTAGTCTTTTTTACCTCATGGCAAAAGTCTAAGACCACTCCACTGAAATCTTCAATATTACTGTTCAGAAACGGTCTTTTCCAAATGTGATCTTGGCCAGAAAATTAGTTTCTCAGGACACCCATTTTGTTACCCCACAAAACCCGGGACCACCCCTCTGGGTGACACTAACCTGTACATTTCAATAGCCCGTTCATCCTCCTCATTGAATTCATCTTCATTATCCTCTAGCTCTTCCAAAGTCATATCTTCATATGTTTTCACTAAATGTAGTTAAATTGGCAAAAGGAAAAAATTTAAAAGACTAATAGACAAGCATTTCAGGTTTTTCTCTTCTCTTTTCTCTTAAAGATGTGTGCAAAACACCAAGACAAGCTGGGGATTTAGCTCAGTGGTTTTGCCGCCTGCTGCGCAAGTGCAAGGACCCGAGTTCAATCCTCAGTACCAAACAAAACAAAACAAAACACCAAGACAAACATTAAGGTGTTTCACTAGCAATAAGAAGCTGAGGGTGTTTTTAGAGATTTATGTTGGTATCTGCTGGCTTGACCACCTTACCTCCACACGGTAATAACGGTATGAGTAAGAAGTTTCCCAGCTTTACAAAATAAGAGTTATAAGGGCTGATAAAAAATATAAGTAAAAAAAATTATTAAGGTAAAAGACACATTGATTAATCCCCCTCAAAATACTACCCCTCCTTATGAACACACTTATCCCATTGTTCTTGTCACTTTCTGAAGCAGTTCTGGAAGACTTCTTTTGGGCATGAGGTATGATAAAAAATATAGTGAACGCTGCTGCCGAGTGCCAATGGAAGGGCAGGTTCATAAAACCATGATGCTGTGTTCTCATCCACCTTATTCACTAGATCTAGCAACAGAGACTTCTGGCTCTTCCCCAAAGTCAAAATGACCACGAAAAGTAAACATTTTGAATCCATTCAAGATATCAAGGCAGCCACGACTACAACTGAAGACTTTCAGGAAAGAGTTCCGAAACTGCTTCAAAAACATGGGATCAGTGTGTTCAAAGTGAGGGCATGATTCAGAAGGGAACCAATGGCAATGTGTCTTTTACTGTACTAAATTAAAAAAATAAACACTGTATTTTTTTGATCACACCGTATTTGCCTGAAATCTCCTGATCTGACTGAGCTGTGCCAACAGCTCCCCCACCCAGAGGAGATGGGGCAACTGTGAGGCCTTCTCTAGCACACAGTTGCTGGAGTAACGTGATCATCACACACTTCGCCATCTTTTCTTACGAGTGGTCAGCAGCTCCATCCTTTCATTACCCACTGCTACGAAATCTGCGTCCTATTCCTACTGCTATAAATACCCTTGTTTCTGGATATCAAGTCGGGCTCTGCCCTGCCCCCTCTTTACTTTCTTATCAAGGTCAACAATGACCCCCAGTTCTTGATGCTGGGCAGCCCCTGACTCAAGCACTGCCTCCTCTGCAGATGGTGCTCTGGCTTCCAGACACCCCCTCTCCTCCTACCCCTATGTCCCTACATCCCACCTTTTGAGCCCCTTGGTGACAAAAATTCTTTCATTTGTTTTTGTATTTTGAGACAGGGTCTCCTTATATAGTTCAGCCTAGCCTTGAACTCCCTCAGGAGTTCTGGGAACTAGCTCAGGCTGGCCTCAGACTCATAATCATCCTGCCTCAGCCTCCTGAGTGCTAGGATCACAGGTGTGCGCCACTGTGTCCAATAAGGTTCAGTCCTTTGACTCTCTGCTTGTACCTGAGCTTTTAGTGACTGAATCTAATCTCATGGCCTTAAGTACTGTGGCTCTGCTGACAACTCCCAAAGTTATGCCTTCTGCTGATTTCTCAAACTGAGAAAAACAGTCCCTGTACCCACTTAGCATCTCCACTTGTTTAGCAAGAATCAAAGGTGAACAGGTCCCAGGTAGAGCTCACCACCTCCCTCTGAAGCTGTTCCCCTTCCAGCCTTTCCCATCCCAGGACAAGCGGTCATCCTTGTCCCACCTTTCTCACTCCTCGGATCCCCAGCACATCCTGTGGGCCCCGATCTGACCCCTCTCCCTCCCACCTACACCACACTGGCCCAAGCCAATGGGGCACTGACCATCAGTAAAAGCCAATGCTCGGAGAACCCTTCCACCACAGCATTTGGAGGTTTCGAAAGTAGTTTCCAGATCCAAATAGCCACAGAACAAAGAAAATCAGCAAGCTCACCTACTGACTGATGGAGGACCCTCTGCTCCTCCTCTTCTGCTTCCTTTTCCAATTCTTTCAGGCTTTTCTTTGAGGGTAGGATGCCCTTTTTTCGTAAGATGTCATTCCATTCAGTGTCTGCATTGGGGTCCTAGAACAGCAGGGGTGAGGACACCGTGAGTGCAAAGTCTGGTACAGCGGGCATGAGGTCAAATGGGAAATGTGGGGAAGAGCAGAATGCTAGCCAAACTGTTCCGTGGCTTACTTCTGAGAAAGTGTCAAAAGATCCACAGCCCCTCTTTTGTTCTTCCTCCCTCCCCAGAAACAGGAGCTAGTCTCGGGGTGAAAGCCAGGATATGATGTACAGATCAACATCGATGTTGAAACCAACATTCTGACTTGGCTTCTGCGCATTACATTTATTAATGACAGAGTGATTCATTCAACAGATAGTTAAGTACCTACTACATGTAAATTACTGTATTAGGCAAAATGGAAGTAGGGTAAACTGAAATCACCTGTTATCTATCTAGAGACAAACTGTGGCTAACGGTCTAGGGTTAGAGAGACCTGCATTCCACAAGGTGGACAGAGATGTTCTGTAGAGGATGTAACACTGGCCGTCACCCAAGGGTGGGAAAGAGCCAGCCATGTTAGAGTGGGGATTTAGGAAATAATTTTCCAGGCAGAGGGACCAGCATAAGTAAGAGGCCCCAAAGCAAACAGAATGTGACATTCTGAGCATCTCAAAGCCTTAGGTAGAGACAGGGGAAGGAGGAAGCCTGAGGTTAGGCTGACAGAATTCCAAAGTAGGAAGAGCTGAACCCTTGGGAGTAGCTCTTAACAGCTAATGTTTATTAAACACTAAGTGGTGGGACTCTTAAGTTCTTCACGTGTGGCTACTCAATCCTCCCAAGCCGAGGTGAGCATGGCGTCTGGAAAGAGACTGCCATGCCAAATGGGGCCAAACTGACCAGGAGCCAATGTCACAAACACAAATGTCAGAGTGGGCTCTCAGATCCAGAACCCAGCTGGACAAGTGTGGGTGTGTATGGCTTGGGGCATTGGCTTGGAAAATGAGCTCAGGGAGCATTGTGGAAAGGATCTGGGATAAACAGGCTCCAGTCCCACCTCTGCAATTCAGGCCTGCTGAGATGTATGGAAGAAAAGTGACCAGATTCCTTCCAACAGGTGGTTGGGGAAGGCCTTTACAAGACGGTCATTTGTAAGCAGAGAATGATGAAGGAAGCAGCCCTGGCCCTCTGTTCGTCAGCAAAGGGTGTGGCCGACCTGCTGTCATTATAGATGACCACTTCTCCCCTTCCAACCAAGGGCACAGTATCTCCACTTCCCACCCCTTTGAGTGGAGATCACTGGTTCAAAACTCCTGACCACAGCGATCAGAGAGGGCTGGGTCAATGGACAGTGACAAAATCTGGTTGTCACTGATGTTTGTTCATAAAAGCCATTTCTATGGAGTTTTGTTTCATTTTCTTTGGGTTTCTGTCAAATACCATTAGCAAAGTCCAAGGAGCGAGGAGAGGGCAGAGGGGAGAGACAGAGAACATAACTAGGGGATTCTGACTGCATTCATTTTAAGAAATTAACGCTGAGCAGAGGGACTGTGGAGCTGAGCTCTGGAGCCCAGGGAGCTGGAAAAGGAGGCACCCAGTATGAACACCAGAGTTGGGGACAGAGAGCCACTAAGCCCTCAGGCAGCTCCGATACGCCAGGCACACAGGGATTCTGGCCCTGATTTCCGAGGTGGGATCCCTCATTCCTCCAAGCCTCGACACCCACCCCCCCCATTCAAACACACCTGCCCAGGTGCTTACTAAGGAAGTAGGAAGTGGCTTTTAAGTCACCTGAGATCTGGCAAATCCTTCCGAAGCCTCAGACACCCGCCTCAAGGAGGACCAGCCCCCCAGTACTGAGATTTGGGGAGCTGGAAGACTCAGTGCGGGGAGGGGGGGCACGCCCGCCCTCCCACATGGCGCCTGAGCAGGCCTCGTCTCGCGTGGCCTCTGAACTGCGGCGCCCGGGAACTGTCGCAGGCCAAGCGCCCGCGGCGGGAGCAACCGGGTCCAATGAGCGGCCGTGCCTTAGGGCCCCGTGGACCCTGCCTCGCTCACCTGCATCTTGTCCGCCGATCGCTCGAGTCAGCCCAGCCTCAGTACCTAGACCCGCTCAACTCCGTTCTACGCACGCGCACAACCTCAGGTCCGCCTCTTCTCCCTGCCAGCGCTTCGCCCCGCCCTCAAGCGCGACCTGTGCGGAGCTAAGAAGTGAAGGCTCTGCGCCAGAGCCAGATCTTCAGCCCTGGGCGCTGACGCCTGACGCGTGCATGAAGCGGAGGACGCTGCCGTGGCTGGGGAAAGCGCTTGACCTGAGGCTGGTCCCGGCGCTGCCTTATTCGGGCAAGGCCGCGCCTGGGGACGGGCGGGACTGGCGGGGGCGGTGACGCGACTTCCCCAACCACCCGCACCTGCGGAGACATCTTGGCCCGCCTGACGAAAAAGTCAGAAATAGAAATGCGTTCTGGCCATCCGACGCTGTGATTAAAAATGATCGGAGATCACCTGGACTTCAACCACTGCCATGTCACTATCAGATGTTACAGCTCGTCCCTGAGACAGATATACTGAGAGCCTCTGGGTGCCAGCCACCATTCTAGGCTCTGCGGATTCGGCGGTGTCAAAAGGGACTGACGGGCTGGGGTGTAGCTCAGTGGTAGAGCGCTTGCCCACGGCTCGATTCCCAGCATCAGCAAAACAAAAAACAAAACAGGCGAAAGTCATTTTACCTCGTTAAGCCTCGGGAAACTGGCATGCAAAGTACTTAGCCCGGTGGCACCGAATAGAAACCAGCAGTCTGACTGTAGGATGCAGCTGCGAGGCCCCATCAGAATTTGAGTTGAGGAGCTTTTCTGGCTAGTGTTAAGGGGCTGGGGTACATCTGTGGTGGCTTATTGTCTCCTGGCAATAAAGCAGGCGCTGGTCACAGATGCCACACATCTGTATGTAGGCACAAGGCTCCCAACTTTGGCTAAGCATATTGGAATTGCCTCTGAGAAGCAATCAAGAATAGAGAGGAAGGGAGGAGCTGGCCCCACAGATATTAAAACACTGTGGTATTGATGCATGAATACACAAAGGGATCAAAGAACAGCGAAGCAAGCTCAGAGCAATTCCAGAAATGGAGCCAAGTACACAAGCATTAGGGTTAGTGTATGCATAAGTCAGCTTCCCAGTCCCCTGGAGAAGGGGGTGGCCTTTCAATGGAGGGTGTTGGGACATTTGAAAGAGCATTGGAAAGTAGAAAAAATTGGGTACATCACAATATGCATCAGAATTTAAAAAGAACTAAAACTACTAGAAGGAAATATGGGCTAATTTTATAATTTAAAAATGGAAAGGGCCAGGGATTTAGCGCAGTGGTTCCGCTACCTGCCTCACAAGCGCAAGGTCCAGAGCAATCCCCGGTACCCTCCCCCCTCCCCCCCAAAAAGGAAAAAGACTTCAGTGACTATTATTGAAATTCAGAAGGCCAATTTAAAAAATAATAGATTCAACTACTTTTTTGCATAAAAATAATGCTTAAAAGCATGTTGCCTCTGGTATAAATAAAAAGTTTAAAAATATATTTATGTGTATATTCATATTTGCTTAATTTTGTAAGAATCACAGGAAAAAGGAAACGAAGAGGAATGAAGTGGTAGAGGCATGGCTGGGAAAGAGAATCTAATAAATTTTATTTAGTAGCAAAGACAATTTTGTGGGGCCTAAAGCAAATTCAACCTTGGAGATCCTCTTTAAAAAAAGAATCTATTCGCAAGCGCAAGGACCCGAGTTCGATCCCTGGTACTAAAAAATATATATATATAAAATTATGCACATAAAATCTGGCATGAATGTTTATTTAAACTGAAAAAAAGTTACAAATGACCAATTTGTAAAAGCCAACAAGTTCCACAAATATCACAAAACTCAGCAAAATACTATACTTTTCTTAATTGTCTGACATGTTTCTATGCTCCCACGGACTAACTTTCTACTAGTACAAATCAAGCCCTGTTCCTTCTAGAACTACTCAAATACCTCATTCCACAGACAGAGCCACCTGGATTACATTCTTAACAACACTGCACTCTCAGTCCCTGCAAGTTCTGGTCATCTCCCTGGGTGAGGGTGGATAGCAGTACTCCTGCAAGTCACTTCTAACTGGGGATGATCAGAGATTACCACGCATAGAAACAAATCCAAACCACATAAATGTGTCAGTAAATATACCCCCTAACTCAGCTTTTCCTTTGTGTTAGTGGTTTTCGTATCCATTATATACCACTTTAATGTTTGTAACTTTATTCCCACTAATTAAGTTCTTTCTTCTCTTGTGCAAAGCTTTGGGATGGTTTTTGCCAGATTTTGCTTCCATCTCCTTACCTATGAAAGTCTCCATAACAAGGTCAATTTTCTTGATGTTTTTGCACACATTTTGGCAGAGATGGAAGACTTGGGGTTGGCCTGCTGGCTCTTCCTATCAGCGTCTACTTTTTCCCTCTCTCCCTTCTGGGACAGGTGTTCATGACCCCTTATAAATGATGAATGGATTTAATAAAACATAGAAGGAGACAAAACCTGAAGTTATACACAATATGTAGATTTCTTAACAGGCAAGTAGAAGAAACAGTTCTCCATTGAGCTCAAGCACCTGTGGAAATATAGCTTAGACATACTTTACCAGGACTCTCCTGTGATGTGTGACTATGAGGACATTACTGTTTCTTTATTCTAGCAATTTTTCTAGGCAAAATGCCTCACCTTAATGACTCCTGCACAGATTGCTGGAAAAACTGTTGCACCTGCATTAAAGTTTAGTGACTGTAGGGTTTGCATTATGAGATCCTGTGTAGAAAAATGATGCTAGTAGCCCAGATTCCTTCTAGTGGGGAAAGCAGACAGCAGACTCACTTAGCAAGCTGATCTCAAACTGTCATAAGACAGAAAGCCTGAACAGAAAGACACAATGGCATGGCAGTGATTAAAAGAGCAGTTTACAATTTGTGCTCTTTAAATGAGCCATCATTAAATGTGGGACTGCACGCCTGCTGCCAAGGAAACCAGAATTCGTATTCCAGATGTGTTTGTGTTTGCTCTTAAGGCACCATCATCCCAAGATTTGTTTCTGCTTTTTTCAGTTAGTGAAAAACTGTGTTCCTTGGCCCTGCCTCTCTTCTCAGTGCCTCCCACCTGGGGTTTACTTTTCATTAAACAAAATGCAATGAAATGAGATGAAAGTGTGCTGGTGTATTATTACAGATGATTGTGTGCTGTTCACTTCTGCTCGTTTTGAGCCCACCTGGAAGTAAGTCCTCAAGAGGTGGGGCAAGTGAGGATGAGAGGCTTGGGTGATGTCTGGAGTGAAAACATCTGGGAGTTCTGGAAACTTCAGCACTATTGAACCCTCCCTGGAGGTAGACACTGGGAAAGAAACATCTAGGAGAAAGTTTGGTGAATCATGATTGTGGAGAGGCTGCCTTTCCCAGAAGGCGAAGTGGCTGTTGGAATTCAGCAACCATTTCCTCGGAAAGGAGTCAAAATGGAAAGATGGGGCAACACTTGATTTTAATAACAGCCTACTATTCAAGCTCTTCTAGGTTGCATAAGGAGTGGATCACAAAATATCACAATTACTTGGAGATAGTTAAAAATGCAGATTTTGGATCCAACTCCCAGAGCCTGTGATTCTGCAAGTGTGGGGTGGAGCTCACATTAATAACTCCTGCCTGAATTGCTGGAAAAACTACTGCAGCTGGCAATGAAGTTTAGTGACTGAGTCTTTGCATTATGGGGTCCTGTAAAGAATAGCTGTCTACACAGCTGGAGAGCTGTCAGGTGGTTCCAGTAGTGTTGGTCTGCAGGCCACATTTTCTTTCACTGGAATTCTGTATCACCTTTAAAAAGAATCATGAAGACTACTGTAAGGCATTTACCATGACGTTATATAGTGTCAAGTAGAAAAAAGCAGGTATAATTGTTATAGATGGCACATATGAATCCACTCATTTAATAGGCCTTTTTGTGAAGAAAAGTTCATTCCAGTTAACAGGGACTAAAATCAGGAGTAGATTCTAGCCTCTAGCAGGGAAAGAAAACTGTGTATATATAGATTTGGGGAAGAGACTATAATCATAAGAAATGTTTATGACTTGGATGTCCAAGGATGGTTTGCTCAGGTGTGTAGACAATCACGGGACTTCTTGGTGCTGGAGGGATTGTACACTTTGTTTTGTGTCCATTTGTCCTATTTACTGAGAAGCTGCTGTTATTTGCTGAACGAAGCCTGTTTGCTTTGTCCTGTTTGTTTAGGCCAGGCCTGACAATAATTAGGACATACAGTCAGCTTTACATCAAACAACCATGGATTGAAAATATTCAGGGGAAAAAAGCTGTACCTGTGCTGAACATGTGCATTTCAATATTCTACTGCTTGTACCCTAATCCAAACCATCACCTCATTCCTAGATTCCTGCATAGCCTGAGGAATTGCTGCAGCCACATTTTGAGATTACACTAATCTTTCTCCTGTTTAAATCTGCCAATGGTTTCTCACTGACTTTGAACAGGCCATCAGCCTATTGACAACCCTATAATGTCCTGTGGTGGCAACCTTTAACTCTATCATCACAGCTTCCCAGGCATCCTCAAATCTACATTCCAGCCACCTTGCTCATCTTTTCAGGGTTCTTCCCTAGTGGAGGACCCACTTTTGCTCCAAATCACATGCATAGCTCCACGAATGCTCTGTGCTTCAGCCCCAGTGTGACATTTGTCTCTTTTGTGGTTTCTTTTCACACAGTGCTTTTCCACTGTACCAGATCTCATGCCCCTTAGTAACCAGCACAAGGCCTGCCCTTCCTACTACTCTGAAATAAAGTTGATACAGTAGATGAAATCACAAACAGAACAATTTTAAATAATGTAATGAATTACCTATAAAAGAAAATAATATATTTTAAACATGAAAATCCTCCACTGCAACTACATGAGCAAACATAGTCCAGTAGTCAGGAGATGACACACATCTCTAATGAACAAAATTTCCTTTATTTCTGACCTTTTGACATGAGAGCTAAAGAAACAGATTTGTCTAAACATAAGTGAAATCATTGTGAGTTCAACTAATTTTAATGGGGACTAATACTGCAAGTTGCCTTGGTAACTGAAATATCTCAGCCAGAGTGACTTGGTTTTCTGAAATGGTGAAAAACTTGGTAAAATTCCAACTAAAGTACAATTTCCCCTCAATGTAAAAGGAGGCTACTTTCCTGGAAA